TTTGTAGTTTTACCAGTTGTATGTGTCTACTTAGCAGTGAAAGTGCAACATCACATCGAAAAATCATAAATGGATTTGATTAGGCTGAAGATAAAAAGAGACCAAAATGGATGAAATTCACACATCGAAAAATCATAAATGAATTTGACTAGGCGTCATGTCATGCCACGTCAATTTTTTATTCATGGTGAAGATAAAAAGAGACCAAAATGGATGAAATTCACAAATTATTGGACCCAGATTGAAATTGCTCAATGACGGGATGGATTTTTATACTTTGGCTAAATTATATGACCAATTTTGAAATTTTGTTTGATTGTTGGGGTTAAAGATTTGTAATTTGGTAAAATTTCAAGTTCTTTCATTGGTTGCATATAAGATGTACGAGATTAATTGTTGAAGGTGATTTGAAAATGAATAGCTTAAAGTTGCGTAACTAAACACTCATTAATATACTTGCTCTAGAATTAATATATAATCCAAATGAGAGATTGGTAGGAAACACTAGTTTTCTATGTAAAGTCGAATTATGGAAAATATTATATGTATTTATTAGCTATTTAATTACTGTATCGACTTATTTAAGTAATTTGAATAAGATAAAAATCCATGAACTATATATGTAATATGAAATTATTAAGAGGATATCTAATACTAGTTGGGTTAAATGGTATTGGTTGACCTACCACTACAAAAAGAAATGCCGTATTCCAACAGAAAATTCTACGGTAATATATTCCAATGGAAATTTCAACGGATATTCCTATGGTATAACTTCCATTGGAATGATTCCAACGAAAATTCCAACGGAATTATTCTGTCCTGGAATGATTTTTCCATTAAAACTTTAGATGGAATTTTATCATTCAAGCGACCATTAATTCCAACCGCTTTTTACCGTTGGAATTATACAATTTTCGTTGGGATTTATAGTTACACCCATATTTCAACAGTTGGAAAATGTACCGTTAGAATAGTTAATATCCAACAGAAATTCCAATGAAAAAATCATGACAACGGAATATTTTCGTTGGAATACATTGGAAAATTTCAATGAAAATAATAACATTGGAATATATTTACGTTGGAATTTTTCATTGAAATTTCATCACATTCGTGTAGTGTACTTGAATAGTTAAAGTCTCTTTGTTATTGTCTCCAATATACTAAATCCCACATGATTTTCAATATTCTCTGTTAAGAATTAAAAAGGTTCATAAAAACATTTAGTTGAGTAAGGTCATAAAATTACTTTCTGCTTGTGACTTGTGTTCTTGATCGAGGTTGTGTTCGTGATCAATGTTGCATTCATGGTGATCTAATTCGTATTGAGTTAAGGTATTTTGCATCAAGAAATTCATTTATATTATTTTCATCTAGGTATTTCATTAATTCATAAATCTTTGATAATATAAGCATTGGAAAGGATCATATGAGAAAGGAGGATAATGAAAGAAATAAGAATGATTGTAGACCATTAGATCATACATATCAATGGTTAGGATAAAGTCAAAACTTAGTCAATCATTAATGGCAATATGGTAAATTAACATATATTGTGGTAAAAAATACATAGAGCTCATTTGTTAAGTCGGATAGGATTAGACAATATTTATCTTGTGGACCAAGATTGTACTGTTGAGATAATGTGATATCTATGTTTGTTAAGAATGATTTGTCCAAGATAGGATTATGTTAATTTTTTGTGTTCTACATTTGTTTTCCTAGATAAGATAGAGGATAAAGGTATGAATTACCAATATGCCCCTAATTTAAAATAAATACTAAAATAAAACACATGACACCTTTTTTTATATATTCTCAATTTATTTTCTCTATCACATATTTTTTCACGATTCATGTTGTAGATATTCTATTTCAACCGGTTCTATTTCTTTTTTTGCTTCTGATAGGTCCTTTGATTTATCTTTTGAATTTTTCCCCTTCCTGCATATGTACAAACAGTTCCTATATTGCATATCTGTAATTCTTCATCTTTTTTTTGTTTCATATTTCCTTTATATTGTTACATTTCACTTATCTTGACAGATGAATTATACCAAATCTTGTTGTTCAACGTTTTCATGATCACGCTGTTACATTTTTATTTTTATTTTTTTGTGTGTGCACTCTTGACCCCTCCCGCCGGTTGTATGATCAACTATTACTAAACCAATTTTTTTACCATTTCATGTCTAGACTCCACTTAGTCAAATCATGTCCTCAAAACGTAAGGAGTAAATGCAATAGCACTAGACAAAATTAAAAGTAACAACCACAAATATGAATTTATAACATCACATTCCAAACAACATCGTGTAGTGTGTATTATAATGCATACATAACCAAAACAGACCGACATTACATGACGATCCAAATGAAAGCCTTGCTGAGATCAGATAGTTTTCCTACAAGCCTCCAATTATTGAATTTGAGGTCACAGGAATAAATTCAGGGAAGAAGAAACCAGGCCCATCCCCATACCTCTCACAGGCCACTCGCCTCAAATTTCTGAGAACCCAGATTAACTGCACTACTTTTATTGGGTTTCTTTACTTTGATCATCAGCAAGAAGAGAAAATTTTGCAGGCGTCACAAACATGCTTAATTCATGAACTTCCTTAAATTGCATCCACGACTTGACCCACACCTTGGCCTGTATACCATGTTCTGACCACCATCTGCTACCTCCAGCTTTATTGGAATATAAGAAGGTAATGAATGTCAAGCAACCAGTGGTGTTCGGGACCATGTACTAACGCTGGTTTGTGATAAGTTATGTAGTACATAAATGACCACATAATGATTTTAATTAATTTAGAATTAGGAAGAATGATAAGAATAGTTCATTCACACTTTTTCACCATGAAATGTTAGAGGAATTGTGTTGCAAGTCTGCAACATTACCATGCCACGCCCAACAGAATTATATAAACAACTTAATATCCCATTGACAGCACAAGAAATATAAATTAAAAAGGATCAAATATCTAGATCCTGGACCATATCCAACCTAAATAAGCTTTAGATGGCTTGGTATTGCAATATTTGAAAAGTATAAGGCAAGACTTACCATGATTAACAGATACACGATTGTTCGAGAAAATCAGAGAGTACGTGGAATACAAAGCGGTTAGCAAACTTGGAATACAGAGTAGTTAGCAACCGAAGACCGAACCGCCGTATAATCTTGTTAATATCCGAGTCCGGATCCTATAAGGATACCGGTCTGATAGACCGGGAGTCGGGTGGCGGCCGGTCGAACCGAGGGGGCCGGTCACCAGGATTGTTCGTAAGTGCCGAGCCGAGCAAAAGTCAAAGTCAATAGGAATGGCGGTTAGAGTTGGACTTGGGGTCGGCACCTCGTTTCTCCGTTCGCGAGGTCGGCACCGTGACTTCCCAGCCTCGAGCTCGACCTGACTCAGTGCCGAGATCTATAAAGGACCCCGAACGCCGGAGGACAGTCAGGGACTGATATAGCCCAGCTCGGCACCCTACCAGTCTGGCCCTCGTAGATATTAGGGACCCAGAAAATAATAAAATAAGGCCACTTGTCGAACTAATGATTGCCGATGGGACATCCCAGGCTAGCCAGCAGGTCTAGAACGTCTAGCCCGGCTCAAGAGTATGTCCACATTAAATGCAGCCCACACCAAGCATTAAATGCGTTGCAGTTGATGATTGGAAGACCCAGAAATCACTCACACAGTCAGAGAAACGCCGGCCTGTCCCGCCGAACTACTGTACGACAAGACCGGTGAACAGTACCTGAACAGTGCCGCATTAAAGAGCGCTATAAATAGCAACCCCTTCATTTATTTTTGTGTTGTTGAATCCCAACTGTCTGAACTCTCTCTCTCTATACTTTCTCTCTCTAGACTTGTAAGGAATTTGTGTAGGAATTGTTAAGGATATCGCAAGTGCCGACCTCGTACGAGAGGCCGACCACGTGATCTTTAATAGAATCGTAATTGAACCGTATTTTCTTTGTCTTTTCTACATTACTTTTGCATAACTCAACTTTTTAACCGTTGACCGGAAACGTCCGTCAACAGTTTGGCGCTAGAAGGAGGGCACCATAAGTTACTTGGTGTCAATTTTTCGACCTTGTGAAGCTCCACTTCGCACTCATCTTTTTCCCACTCTTTCCACTTCCAAAACACTTCTCAAAATGCCTTCATCCAGTTGCGATGACTCCACCCAGCAGTCCGGCTCCCAGCCTCGCGGACGCAACGGCGGGGAGACCTCTTGTGATGCTCAGCAGGGACCCATAGTCCCTGTTCCACCACTTCCTACCTTTGCTGCGGCCTTGCAGCACCCCGATGTCCTCAAAGCCTTCGAGGGGGTCTTCGCCAAGGCCCTCGCTAGCCAGACAGCTGGGGCAAACACCGTGGTGCCCACGAAAAAGCCCGGCAATACCCTGCTCCACACTCCCGAGAAGGAGGCCGGGGGGCAAAGGAACCCGGCAAAATCTAAAACCACGGCTCAGTCCCCGAATCGTGAGGCCCGAGGTCACCGCGACAAGAGCACCAGACCGGCTCCCACCGAACAGACGGGGGAGAGCCGCCCGGAGCAAAGCCTCCAGGTCGTCCGCCGCTCTGTCCACCAACGCCTAGGTGACAAGAGCCAAGCCAACCGTGACCTCCGGGAGGTGATCAGGCGGGGCAAAGCCATAGGGCACGACACTGAGGAAGTCGCAGCCCTCAAACGCAGAATCGCCGAACTTGAAGGTCGACAGCCCTCCGGGAGTGAGCTGTCACTCCCGGCCTATCCACAGCCTTGCATACGACCCACTCCCCGAGTCGTAGACAACGCATCACCCCTTTCCCCCGACATCCTACAGGAGGCCGTCCCGAAGAAGATCAAAGTACCCCAGCTCGGCCTCTACGATGGGAGTTCGGACCCTGACTCCCATATCGGTCTCTACACCTCGTGGATGGACCTGCATGGAGCCTCTGACGCCCTGCGCTGTTGCATGTTCTCTTTGACATTAGGGCCAAAGGCGCAGAGATGGTATCATTCTCTTTACCCCCATTCCATCTCCACCTGGGCCCAGCTCAAGTCGGCGTTCCGGTCGCATTTTATCGGATCGCAGGTCAATCTCACTCCCAAAGAGTCCATCTCCAATATCGTTTAGGGCGAGAACGAGAGCCTGAAGGACTACATCGCTCGGTTGAATGACCGAGTGCAAAATATGGAGCAGTGCCATCCCGACGCCCTGTTGATCACTGCTCAAGGTGGTCTGAGACCGAAAACGCTGTTTAGGTGGTCCCTGTGTCAGAATAAGCCGACCACCTACCAGGAGTTCCTCGCCCGCGCTCAGGATTACATAATGGCGGAGGAGTCCTCGTCCATCCCAACGTTTGATACCACGTCGGCGCCAGCAAAGGCGAAGGCGAAGGAAGAAAAATCGGGGAAGCCGAGCAAGTCTTTCGCTGAAATCCGAGCACAACGAAGACAAAGGGCTGAGGAGCTGAAGGAAAGCTACCAAAGCGTCTTCTCGGTGGGAGCCGCGGCGGTTTACGAGGAGATCAAGGCTAAGGGGCTGCTGCCGGACCCCAAGCCGATGTTCACTGACAAGGATAAGGTGGATAAGACCCGCTACTGCACCTACCACAAGGCGCACGGGCACAACACCGACAAGTGCCGAAACCTGATCTCGGCACTGCTCAAACTCATCGATGATCCCCAACTCCGGAGGTTCACCCACTCCGGAGAAAAGAGGAAGAAGGGAGGCCGCTTCGAGGAAGGCCCCGACAGTGACGAGGATGCCGACGTGAATCCTCGAAGGAAGAAGCCACAGCAGGGTGGCCCCCACGAAATCATGACTTTCTGCCCCATCCACCAAGACGAGGCCGGCACCTCTAGGGGCAGAAAGAGAGACCAGTCCCCACGCACCGAGGCCGATAAAGATCCATCGCATCATGGTCGATACCGGGGCCTACGCGAGCATCCTTTACTACGAGACCTTCAAGAAGATGGGGATCGATAGGAAGGAAGTGCAGTCCTGCCGAGAACGGATCCAGGAATTCAATGGGCAGACCATTGCCCCTGTCGGTCAAGTCACCAAGGGGACCAGAGGGAGGCGCGGTAATGCATTCTAACCATCCCGCGCACAGAGATAAATACGGCAGACCTTCTGGTCGACGCCGAGGCAACGGACATCGGGTCGGCACACGATGGTCTTAGGGGCAACCGCATGCTGGAAACCAGACAGGTTCGAACCCATTGACCTCACCAAATGCCGACCCTGCCAGCATCGAACTCGAGACGGAGACAGACAGCCCAATCCCAAATGCCGGGCTGGTTGACACCGACCGGGGAAGCGACCGCATGCTGGAAAGCCAGACGGGCCCGCTCCCCCCGGCTGACGAAAGTGTCGACCAGACTGAGGGAGGCTCCAAGGCCGACCTCGACTTGGACAGGGGAAGAAGGGCCGGCAAGGGGCCGACCACAGAGGAAGACGAGCTCGACCCCCGAACCCAATATGAGGAGAAACGAGGAACAAAGAGGGCCGAGCCTATGGATGAAGTCGAAGTCATCTTTGTCGACGAGGAAACCTGCCAGAAACAACTCTGAATCGGGAGCAAGTTACCGGAACCGCTTAAAGCCGAGCTGACCCAATTCCTCTGAGAAAACGCAGACGTCTTTGTGTGGACCCACGAAGACATGGTCGACATCGATCCGCGGGTCGCCTGCCACCGGCTGCAGGTCGACCCCACGGTCAAGCCAGTCGTGCAAAAGCGTAGGAGGCTCGGCCCGGACCGACAACAAGCCTTGGAAGAAGAGGTGATCAAGCTCAAAGACAACGAATACATTTGAGAAGTCCGGTATCCGACCTGGGTAGCCAACCCGGTACTCGTGAAGAAGAGCAGCGGGGCATGGCGCTTGTGCATCGACTTCTCTGACTTGAATAAGGCTTGCCCCAAAGACAGCTACCCCCTGCCCCACATTGGCTACATGGTCGACGCGACCTCGGGGCACGAGCTGATGAGTTTCATGGACGCGTACTCCGACTACAATTAGATTCCCATGCACCCGAACGATGAAGAACACACCTCTTTCTACTCGGCACGCGGCCTCTACTGCTACACCATGATGCCGTTTGGACTGAAGAACGCCGGGGCCACCTACCAGCGCCTAGTCAACAAGATGTTTGCTAGTTTGATAGGTGTAAGCATGGAAGTGTATGTAGACGATATGCTTGTTAAATCCGTGTACGCGTCCGACCATGTAAACGATCTTAATAAAATGTTCTATATTTTGCGTGATTATTCTATGAAGTTAAACCCAAAAAAATGTACTTTTGGCGTCGGTTCGGGAAAATTCTTGGGGTACATCGTCAGTCAGCGCGGCATCGACGCCAACCCCGAGAAGATCAAGGCAGTGCAGGACCTTCGACCGCCGACGTCGATCAAGGGAGTTCAGAGCCTAACCGGCAAACTCGCCGCCCTGAGCAGATTCATCTCAAAGTCCACCGACCGCTGCAAACCTTTCTTTGACGCCATCAAGAAAAATCACAAGTTCGAGTGGACACCGTCCTGCCAAAAAGCGTTAGAGGCCATCAAGGAGACCCTCAGCCAAGCTCCGATGATGCAGAAGCCTCGCCCAGGTGAAGTGCTTTATCTATATCTGGGGATTTCAGAGGTGGCTGTAAGTGCCGCCCTGATCCGGGAGGAGGACTCAGGCCAATT